GATACTCATACACCGAGCCAAAATAAAGGTACTCTGGCACTTTTTTTTTTTCTTGTTATTCAACAGGTGGAAAGGAAGTAAAACTTCAGAATTTGGATTGTCGTCTTCTCTTTAGTATGTTTCCTTGTTAAATTTAGTATGTTTCATTTTCAAAACAGCAATTTAGGTAATTTAAGCATTCTCTATTTTAATTATTTTTTTCTCTTTGTTGACATTTCTTTCAGCAACACTAGGAAAATTCATTTTAATTCTGTTTTTATTAATGGCTTTCTGAACCAATCTTATGACAGAGAGTAGCCATGCCCAAAATAGCTACGGCAAAATGTGAACAAAAAAAAAAAATCTGTAGTGTCTTTCAGATAGTAAGCCTGGTGACAAATTTACAGCTGAAAGTCTGCGGCTTTTACAAATCCAACCTGAGAAACACTTTCTGAGAGGACCTTTTATAGAGGTTCACTCCAACATTACACAATAATTCATTAACACTCTGAAATTTTTATATGAAGTTAGTAATGATATTATTAGCTTAATATAGCTCCACACAGCTTCATGAACCTTACCTAAATGCAAGATATAGATTACTTGTAGCCACATTTCTGAATTCTGATATGCAGGAGAGCTAAAATAGTTTATCCTATTTGTTAATATTCTCTAACTCTGTACCAGCTGTCAAGATTATTTTTAGCATCCGCACTCTGGCATATTTAAGTCCTAGTAATATTTCTGATGTACTTGCTTGCTTCAATAATCTTGTACATCAGCTATCAATTTTTCTTAATATTGCTGAAAGAAATACAAGATGTGTCCCTAGAAGTCACTAGATGGAAATCTTATTCTGTTAATAAACACCATCTGCTGCCTTCTTTCCTGTCCCCCCCCCCTCCAATTATATGTAAAGATGAGATTAGTCTTCAAATTTTTAACACTGCTCTCAAATCCCTCTCAAAAGCATTTCAGCAGAATTTCTGTGTTCCTATAGCACCATTTCAGCACAAACTTTAAAACTATTTCATTATTTACACAGTGTCTACTAATTCGGTTTTATAATTCAGGTTTAAAATATGTCTAGCAGTACAAAACAGATACAATTATAGCACTTATATATAAAACTATAGCACTTTTATAAATACATGTGATTCATCTCCAGGACAGTCAGAACTTTCACTATAAGAATAATCTAGGCATTAAGTTCTTTTTTATTCTCCATGATCAATAGGATAGCACAAAAATTTCTGACATATTTACTTTGAATAAAAATTGCCACAAATTCTAGCAGTAAATTTGTTAATGAAGTCAATGATTTTAACAGTGTCAGCTACCTATAACCCAGTAAGAACAAAAGAAAGCACTGTTCAAAGCAGGACTGCTTTCACTGAAGCCCCTTGCTGTATGGGCCAAGCTGCTGTGTCGCCTTCTTTCTCAGCAGCTGTATTTCCCCTCCCATGCTCTCAAAGAATAAAGCTCATTATGTATCTCAGGACAACAGGAAATGGAAAACTGCATCAAATTCTTCTATTCCAAAATGAAAATAATCTCATCAGAAAGAAAATAAAAAGGACACAGCTACACAATTATTTGGCCAAAATTGTCTAATTGGAGATAAAGTATAACATTTCTCGTCTATACATTAATACCCATACATGTTACACAGACCCTGAAAGTTACTAAAAAAAAAAGAAAATGTGCCAGAAACTTCTCCAGAAAAAAAGAGGCATGGAGTCAGTAGACTTTTAACTCCCCATTTCTCACTCCAGCCAGCAAAGCTGTGTCACTAGACAGTGGTTAAACAATAAATTGCTGTTGGTAATTATTGTAGCTCAATCTTTTTTCTTAAAATCCCTCCTTAATTTTCAATGCTTCTCATCATTTTCTGTTGTCACTGTAAACAAGGTCTCTTTCTTTTGAGTAGTATCTTTCAGTTTTCTCTCATGAAATCCTTTTTCTCCAGGGGTATTGTGCTCTACAAAGAGCTGCATTTTTCAAATGTGTTCTTTCCCAAATAATAGAGAAACTGAACATAAAGAAGTATGCGCACAACAGTCCCAAAGTTAAGCCAAATATGCTGCTTGAAAGAAGGTGAGGAGAAACGGGAGAGAAGGATGGAGGGGTGGAGGGTACTGACTGAGGCTTATGATGTTAATTGTAGGAGGCCAGTGTAGGTATTTCTGTGGTCTATTGTGTACTTAGTTCAACTGGATGCAATTGCAGGGGCTTACTTATAATGGCCCATCATAATAGTTCTATTGAAGATATAATTTTATAGCATTTTTATCCACAGGAGATGAGAAAATTATGTTCCTCCCTGTTATGATCAAGAAAGTCCACAGCAGATTCATAGTTCCCACTGATTCTGGCAGGTACTCAGGAGTTTCTTGTCAACTTTCAGCTCAAATGCAGGTATGTCAAGGAGGGTGGGAGGCCAGAATAAGAGATATTGATGGCCTTTGTTTATTTGACATTTTTGGGGTTTTGGGATTTTTTTTAGAGATAGAGAACAGTAATGCATCCCATATAAACATCTATGTCCTCTATTTCCAAACATTTCAAAGGAAAGTATTTTAAATGCAGGTCACACCTGGATCTAATCGTTTCCGATATGTGTGTCTACTGCTCATCCTGTCCTTGCATGCTATCTCTGTCTATCATTTTGCCTTATTGCAATGATAGGTTGCTAATCACTTCTATCTTAGGTTTCAAATTACAAATCCATAATGAAGTACTTAAGTATGTGGTCTGATATTTAGGGGTAGTAAGTATGCAAATGTTTCATCAGGAAGCTAAAAAGGAGCTACTGGGCAATCAAAATTTTTGAAAATTGGATACTAGATAGAACTAGATCTGAAAATGTTGATTGCAGGGTTATAGACATTCACAAAAAGTACAAGAACAGAAATAGAGATTGCCCTGATGTGATTATCATTTAAATACATCTATTCTTTCATGTTAAGGAATGATGCATGAGAAGAATGTAACGTAATGAGTTTTCATTTCTTTGCAAGCTGGGTATAAAGACAGGTAGTTTCATAGGAAGCCAGGAATTGAAAGAAAAATTCTCTCACTGAATATAGCTGCCTTGATCCAGCTCTTAAAAGAGTAGATCTGGCCGTGGGAGGAGAGACTCCAGTGAACTAAAACTTTGGGGTCCACCTTAACTTCTTGCAATATTCCAGATTTCACAAAATAAAGCCTCAGATTCAAAAAAGAGAAGTACCAAATTCAAGGTAAAAGGTTATGATTTGTTCTAAAATGCTGATTTCTGTGGTCAAAGGTAAAATCTCCCCACACTTACCAGTGACTGAGGAGCTTGAGTTCTATTACTCAGCACGTTATTTTAGCCTAGAAAGGAACTATGTGAGGAGTCAGTCATATGTGCAAATTGAATTCTGTTGGTGCTCTTCCATTTTAGGTTTAACCATTCTCTTTCGTAACTGAAAGGCATGGTACACTATGTGTATTTAGTAGTGCAAAACCTTTTGGCAAGCAATCTATGAAGACAGCAGCTGGTACCATATCTAGAGAATTTGAATTTCCCAATTTATGACACCAAATCAATGGTAAAAATTTCTACATGTTTTCCTAAAGTGCATAAGAAGCATATACAATATTGTGCATATTAAAAATCCATAGGAATTACACAGTACATTTTCAGATAATATTTTTGTAATAATGCTGCTGCTGAATAAAGTTACTGAACACTTGAAAAACTAACAGACTACAGAGTAGACATAATCTAGACAAAAAACAATTGTAACACTTAGCTTGAATTAACGGACTACAAAGTAGCTATAATGCAGTCAAAATCGGTTACACATAGCTTGAATTTCTGTTTTGTGAATTACCTCTTGCTTACAAGCAAGACAGAAAAAAGTGTGTGTAATTGCCTCACTGAATTTCTATAATAAGAACAATAAAGCCCTGAGAATTCTTTTACATTTTTCATTTCATGACTTGACAGAAGTACATATAGGAGGAAATTTCTATATGAAGTATATTCTAATGCATCATACCTGAAGGTAAACTATGTCGATGGCTGAAGACATTTTACTACAGAGTGATTCTGGGCTCTATATCTGTGGCAGCCCATCATTGCATTATCAGTTTTTGGATATTTTCTTAGCTTCCAAAATGTTAGACAGCTAGTTAACTCTCTCAGAGATTAGTTTTGTTGCAGATGGGACTGATCAGGGTACAACAACGGCCTAGAGCCTCTCCAGGCAGTCTACTATAGGTCCTGGTTTGCTGACAGAGACACCTAATGGAAGCAGAAAGATCCAGTGTCTTCACAACAATCAAAAAAAAAAAAAAGGGAAAAAGAGAAAACCAATAGTTTCTGTTTATATCCTATATATACATATTAGAGTTCTTAGTCCCAATGCCAAGAAATTGATTAAAAAACGTGGATGGATGATATATTCCAGCTCTTAAACATTACTAAAGTGAGCTCGATCATAAACAAGATCCTTCCTGGAGCACACATACATAAATATGCCAGCTCACTTACTTCAGTGTCTGTGTGAAAACTGTACACATTTGTGAAAACTGCAATAGGGAAGTAGATTTATGTCAGTTCAGAGAACTGAGTCAGCATTTCTCCTATGCAAAAGTATGAGAAGGAATCTGTCCATAAAACTTCCACATATAAATTCCACTACCTAGTGAAATTCAAGAGTAGTTAGTAATGTCTTGACAGTAACTTGAATAAGCATACCTTAGATGGACCAGAAAGATGCGGATTACTATTTTCAGCATTTGAATAACTTGGCACTATTAAAGTAAAGGTCATAAAACATTCGTGTCTAGATGGGACTGCAGGCGGTAGAGTTTTAAATAGTTTGTTTTCAGATGTGAGTCTATGCATCTGAACGACTACAAGAAAAACAAATCTAACTTGGATAAGGTTATACATGTGTATTTGTATAAATTTTTTTGTGAGACATTTAGTTTCATTATGTACAGAGATGAGAGAAAAAATCCAGAATGATTTGTTAAGAATATCTTACCTTCATAGTAAACTTTAAACCCATGAGCACTAACTGCAAAGTCACTTGTCAAGCGCAGTGAAAATACAGATTTTGTACTTGTCACAGGTGGAGGAAGGTGAAATCCTGTTAACCTAAGAAACAAAAAGCACAACTCATGGTTAGTTGTTTGAAAAATAAAACTGTGTGTGACAGGTTGCTGTTCCAAACAGTATTTTGTCATGGAAAGGGCAATAAGCTTAAAAGTATATAGTTTATCTTACTTGAGAAAATAATTTTTATAGTATAGTTTAAGGAATCCATATAAAATTTTAGCAGCTTTTATGAACACTTGAACGGGTAAGGTACACTGGTTTGAGAAAACTCTGCTCAGTAGAGATAATAGTAAGATATAGAAACTGGACTTTAAAATGGTCCAGGTAATCAGTAGATGGAAAAAAACTCTACAAATTCCCAGTCAATTTACACTATCTAGGGTTATGTTCAAACATCTGTTGTGTTATATATTTTACACAGACTTCTGTTAAAATTTGTAGTGGATGAATTTTCTGCAGCAATATGATGAAAGAAAGGGGACCGTAATTCACTTTAATGAGGGAATTTAAGATTGTTTAAACGATGTTCTTTAGCCTCAGAGAAAATATTTCTGTTCTCAGCTCAGACAGGAAACCCAAAGAGCATCATGGTGAAATCATACATCCATACATCATATACCCATTGGGGGTTGGACTAGATGACCCACAGAGGTCCCTTCCAACCCCGAACATTCTGTGATTCTGTGTGATAAAGAAAGCTCTCTTGCAAGGAATTACAGGTCTGTTAGGGTGGGTTTGTGTTTTTGGTTTTTTTTGGTTGATTCATTGGGTTTGTTTAGTTTTATTAAAACCACTGTGTTTGAGGTGCAGATGAAAGAGCAATTTTTGTGTACTTTTAGCACTGCTGATATGCTCTACTGATACTCAGCTCTACATATTCTTTTCATTTGATGTACACACGGTAACGCTTTCAGCATTCTAAGAGAATAACCTCATCAGGGTTTATACCAGACCAACAAAACCCATAGTATTTACCTGTCAAAAATGCGTAAAGAACAAGTTGAATAATTTAACTATGTATACTCACCTGTGGAATCTTGGCATACCTTTTGGAGCCCAGTTAGCTGTGTGTGGCAAATTGTGTAGCAGATTTAGATGATTTCTTTTATTAATGATTAACACTAAATTGCTTTCATGTGTTTGTAGTCAAGCTCTATTTTTACTTACTACTTTGAATTTAGAATTACAAAAAAATTTAGGTCTGAAGGGTCCTCTGGAGGTCAGATAGTCCAGCCTCAATGTCCAATGCTCAAAGTAGGCTTCACATGAGAGTTAGTCCAGATTGCCCAAGATTTACCTTTTCCCGCTCCATGCTTAGAGTAAATTCACCGTCTTTTTCTTTCATACATACATTCACGTCCATGTTTTATTTTACTGTTATATGTAAAACATAACATTTAGTGTACACACACACACAAACAACCTCCAAAACTCTTCACTACTTTGTTAAACACCTCCTGTAAAACAGCTATGTATTAAATAAGAGTCACAGAAACGTTGGATATTGTAATACATCTTTATAGGATTCCAGAACACCCAATCCACAGGTTGGTCTCGTGGACACTTAAAGAAAAGATGTAAACTGTGATATTTTTTACTAGAAGAAAAGATACATAGTTTAATTTTGTCTGATAGAAGTACTGCAAACACCAATGGTGTTTAATGTTGGTTTAATACATTTTCTGCTGCTAGTGCTGAAATTCAGTCCCAGCCTTCTTCTGAAATGAACAGATAATTGATCTCCTGCTATTATCAGTATTTCTAGCCTCACCAGAAGGAAGAACAGAGAGTGATAGGAAGCCCAGAATTCGAAAGGTCAGAAATTGGTTTTCTGAGAAGTTCGTGTAATTACAATATTAGCATTTATTCTAAGGTCTTACTCTTTTAAATGTTAAGATACCTTTAGATGAGTTCTATACATTGGGCCAGTAATTTACCATGAGACTTATTTGCTGTGGTGATCATAAAAAGTTTTGTATTGTTCTCTGGTGACAATCTACTTAGTGTTTTTAACAGATACTCTACTCAGAATTATATTGTTTTTTCTTAAGCAATCTTTGGCAAAAAAGAATAAAACACAATAGCCTGTCTCTTTTTTTTCCAGGGAAAATTCATTCATTACCCTTGGCCCTTACTGAAACCATTGTTAAAGACATTGCAGCAGCCAATGTATGCTATTGGTTATAATCATGACAGGTATGGAAGTCAAATGATAAGATAGCATTACTTACAGCGTAATGACCAGAAAATTGAAAAATATGAACAGAAGTAGAGATGACACTTAGAGACATGTATATATTTATCTGTATATACGCAGCAAGTCATCAATGTGTGTATCCAGAAAGATATTCTTTGTTTTGTCATTGGCATCTTCATGAGTAACAATATTAAAACAAGACTAGATTAAAGAATTTATATTAATATGCAAAGATGGAAAATTATGTACAGAATATTTAAGATTTAGGAAATGCATGTTTTATTTGATTATGAGATTTTTTTCTAAAAATAATAATAAAAAAAAATATTTACCTCTCCCAAATGGGCGTATGTATAGTTCTTTGACAAATCAATATAAGTGCAATTTTTTCCCAGTAGCTTATTCATAAAACAGTTAATATATTAGTTTATTGGTAAGTATCACTATTTGAAAGTAAGCTGACCTAACGTAAAATCAAGCCAATAAATTGAATAAAATGTCAATTTGCAACACACAGCAAATCTAGCTAGTATCTATTTAGTTTCTCAATGATTCAAGGGAATTGTGGGTATAAACAAATATCCAGCAGAAAAGACATACACATTTATCCCAAATTATTTTATTTTGTGAGTGGTGCATATGGACAACTTAAATAGGTAGGGGATTTTTAAAATGAACGTATAAGTTACTAGTGTGGCAAGCATTACAACTCCTCATGCAAAAAAGATCATCATTAGAGCCATTTGATACAATTTATCTTTCAAGTGTGTGCCTTTTATCACCATCACTATGCCACATTTACTAAGAAAAGTTCAGCTTGTTTCTAATTTGGTTTCTACATCTAAATTTACATGAAAAAAAGCAGAGGTTTTATTTGTGGTTTAGTGGAAACAAAATTAATTAAAAATATTAAGAAGTAAAAATACCACAACATGCAAATATACCACTTGGTAAAACACTATATATTTTCAAAAGAGAATGTAACGTAATTTGCTCAGGCAACTGAAGTAACCTAATACTTGAGCACTGTTCACTGGGTACTATAGTGCATTGACCTCAGAGCTTAAGTCCCAATTGCATGTAAAACTCTACAAAAAAAGTCATAAATGTTGGCTAGAATAGTTTTCTTTTCCATTTAAAATGAAACATAGAAAGTACTTAAAAACTGCAAGAGAGATGTCAGGTAAGCAGCAAAATGCCTGTAAGATAATGTACGTGCATAGGTCTGACTGATTGTCACTTCTTCATACCAGTCACAACTAAATGTTTAACTTCAAGAAAGTACCCTTGTAAAAGCAAAACTTTAGGTGGGACACTTACGCAAAACAAGCAGTCATCTCCTTAAGCTGGTATTATCTGCATATTAAACACATTTAAGGTTCATATTTCGTGTAGTAGCTGAGGTGTTTTTATCTATAGCAATTTTCTCCCTTACATTCTATTTGCATATTTCATTCCATTTGCATCAACTTTTTTTCAAATTTAAAATACCAAGTGGAGCAGTTCAGGTGTTCCTCTACTGCTATCTTAGACACCGTTAGTTATTTGAGACATTAACACAGAGCTGATAGATGTGACATTGGACCAACATGAGATCCATGCTCTGCCGGAGAGCTGGAGGCCAGGCAGGATCCTTTACAGATTCTGGATGTGCCTACATATTATGTTAGGCACTTCAGTTACCCCTTTATAGTCTACCACTTTGGCAGAACAAATTTATACTGTGTCAGGCGGGCTTTTTTTTTTTTTTTGGATGGGATTTTCATTCACCCAGTCCTTATCCTCTTTCCC